GAGAGAGAGAGAGAGAGAGTTGTTTAGTAAACAGATCAACTATATATAATGCAAAATTTTCCAGGCAATCTTCACATACATACCTTAAACAGAATTCCCCTGTCAGCCTTATATGCAGGAGGCGTCCATTTCTTTCTTCGCTCCTCCATCTCTTTATCTGTTAACTGAACATCCATTCTTCTCTCCCGAATATCTATGGTGATGACATCTCCATTTTCAATGAGACCGATTGGTCCACCTTCCTGAAAATATTTCACAATTCACTATTCTTAAGAACTCAAAAAATAAGAGAGAAAAATCTAAACACAGAAGCACAAACAATAAAAATCTTACGATCTAAAAAAGATGCGAAACTAGGTACTTAAAAGCTAACATACCTGTGCTTCAGGGCAGATGTGGCCAACAACATAACCATGTGAACCTCCTGAAAACCTCCCATCAGTCAACAATGCACAATCCTGTAAAATTCACGGGTGATATGTGAAATACTTGTTACTTCAAAATAAAACAAAACAAGTATTTTTTAACTTATGCCAATGAAACAACATGGCTTTCAAACATAGCCTAAAGGATTCCAAACGTTTGAATCTTGAGAATCCGGAATAATATTCTCATTCCCCTTCAAGATTACTGCCATTCAAACACAGCCTAAAGGATTTCTCTAGCAGGTAATCAACTGCCTTGATTCCCCATCCTTACCCACCACCAAAAGGCATGGATGGATCAACCTTTCATATCATTGCAACTACAGATGCATAAATTAATAATCATAAAGTAGAAGGATTGTAATTGCAGAGTATCAAACCTTCCCAAGACCTGCTCCCATTATCGCACTTGTTGGTGTCAGCATTTCAGGCATGCCAGGCCCCCCCTTAGGCCCTTCTCCTCTAATAACAACTACCTTTCCCTGGAAGTGATAATTGTAAGCAAGAAGTCAAATATTGAGACATCATATTTGGGACTGAAATGAAACAATGGTTTGTTTTAAAATAAAGCTCCAATAAAATACTTTATGAATGAACAGGATAGCACAATCAAGTGGACAAACTGAGTTATTTGAATCATAAAAGAAAAGAAGAAAAAAAATTAGATAACAATAAATGAGCTGAATACCAAGCTCAAGAAACATTGTCATATTTGAATATTAATGACTAAATTTGGGTACTGATGTCTCTGTCATACTCGTATAACTTGCAAGCCAAATTCGTGCTCACAAACTTGAGTATGCTAGAGTAAGTAGACAACTCAAGCCTTTAAAAACAACATTGATGGCAAGAGAAGAAAAAAAAAATGAGCAGCTGGCGAAGAGCTCCGAGACTTGTTTGGCCGTTCTGGATAATATATCATTTGCACATGAGCAAAAACAGAAAAGCTTTTAGAGATGTAGCCTGGAAAGTGGCTCCTAATGTTGTTTTAAAAAATGTTCCATAGAGAGCTATGTTTAATCATATAACTCACGGGAAATCCTTAACTGAAAATTCAAACTAACATCGTCACACATGAAGTACATGCATAAAAACCAGCATTAGCACTGCGAATGATGAACTTTGAAGATCACACCGTCTGTTAGAAGTTTGGTAGGTGATTGTGTACCTAAGCGTTTTTTAGAAAGACAGATTGCTAGGAGATGTAACTACTAATAAATAACTTTTTATGGTATGTGTTGAGCTAGTACTGCTTTATTTCTTCCCCAAAGGTAAAGCGATTAAACATTCAGAGATAATTGCAGACCAATGTAGGGCCTAGCTTAATTGTGTATGCGTAGGACTTAGAAGAATGAAGACTGACTATAGAGTACGTCATACAAGGCAAATGAAAAGCATTTTGGATATGCCTGGTGCCAAGCTCCTGATAGTAACTGACTGCCCAATACGAATTAGTTGTTGGTTCTTTGTATATACAGGATTGCTTTAGAGCATCGTGCTTAAGAAACAATAAAATGAAACTCAGGACTAATGAAAAAGGAGAAAAAAAAAAAAAAAAACAGCATTAACAGTGATAATACATAAGATTTAAGCCAAATTTCATATAATTAAAAAAGACAAAGTTAAATTAAATCACATCACCTTTTTAACACATCACTTCAAACCCAACCTAAACTCAATTCATATTTTATAAAAAAATCAAAAAATATACTTATTTAGTCTTTCTAAACTAGGCCTTACTATCACATCACTAATAATAATTCTAATGAGAGGTCCAAGCAATTTTGTTTCTAGTACATTCTAAAATCATTTTTTTAAAGTAATTTTAATACTAATAATAATAATATTTGCAATAAGATCACACACCATCCACCGCTTTCCCAAAAGGTCTTCTCAAACACCACAAACGACAAAACCTCCTGTTTCCTCAATCCCAATTTACTCTAATTCTATTTTATCATCATCATCATCATCATCATCAATGGACACTACGATCGGACCAGTCGAACCCTCCACCATCCCTTCCACCGCTGTCATCGGAACCCTACCTCACAATAGCTTCGTCTCAACTCTCCAGACCTCCCTCCCCCTCTGCAACGCCGCCGACTCCACCCTCGGCCGCCACCTCGCTCGCCGCCTCGTCCAAATCGGCGTCTCCGACGTCTTCTCCGTTCCTGGCGACTTCAACCTCACTCTCCTCGACCACCTCCTCGCCGAGCCCGGCCTCAACCTCATCGGCTGCTGCAACGAGCTCAACGCCGGCTACGCCGCCGACGGCTTCGCTCGGTCCCGCGGCGTCGGAGCCTGCGTCGTCACTTTCACCGTCGGAGGCCTCAGCGTCATCAACGCCATCGCCGGAGCTTACAGTGAGAATCTCCCTGTTATCTGTATCGTCGGCGGTCCTAATTCGAATGATTATGGAACTAACAGAATTCTTCATCACACCATCGGACTACCTGATTTCAGTCAAGAGCTTCGCTGCTTTCAAACCGTTACTTGCTACCAGGTCTGTAGAGTTTAGTTTTTCAAAACTGTTTTTGAATTTTTGTGTGTTTTTTAAATCTACGTAAAATATCTTTTTTTTTTTTTGAAAAAAAAAAAACGAAAATGTGCTGATTTGTTTTTAGTATTTTTTTTTATTATAAATTTTTTCGAAAATATTTTATTTTTGAGTTTCAAAATCAAGGCAAGTTTTGATTGATCGAACACCAATTGAGTGAGATCTGTTCATATAAATGTGTGTGTGGATGTGTGTATGATGTGAGTTGAAGTGAATGTTTTTGAGTGAATTGTGGATTGTGATGCAATTAGGCAGTTGTGAATAACTTGGAGGATGCACATGAACTGATCGATAACGCAATATCAACCGCATTGAAAGAAAGCAAACCTGTCTATATCAGTGTTAGCTGTAACTTGCCGGCAATTCCACATCCTACTTTTAGCTGCGAGCCAGTTCCATTTTCAATCTCTCCCAGGTAAAACTTCGATAATTTGATCTTGTCGAATATATATATATATATATAAATACTAGTGATGTGTGTGTGAAGATCTTTAGCATATGAATGAAGACGATGTGTAGAAACCTTGCACGAGATTTAATTATTTGAATCAGTTTGATTTTGTTACATGCAGTTTTCAAACTCATCAATTGTTATGACTATTTTTAGAAAATCAAAAAAGCGTGACCAAGAAAGGGTTTACACCTACTGACTGGTGCAAGTGAGAAATTTTTGACCAGTTTAACGAATGATGGTTGAATTTGAAAACCATTTAATAATTATTGGACATGGAGTTTTAGCAGTTACTAATTTTATTGGTATTTTCGGAATAGAAAAAAGCGTGATAAAGTTATGAGTTGTGTGCTTTAATATAGATAGATATGTGTGTGTATTGCAGTGGTGAGTGGTGAGTTTTAGCAGTTACTAATTTTATTGGTATTTTCGGAATAGAAAAAAGCGTGATAAAGTTATGAGTTGTGTGCTTTAATATAGATAGATATGTGTGTGTATTGCAGTGGTGAGTGTGTACACGTATGAATGATATATTTTGGTTCAATTTATATTGATTTTGATTTTAATGGTGTACAGATTGAGTAATCAGATGGGTTTGGAGGCTGCAGTGGAAGCAGCAACAGAGTTCTTGAACAAGGCAGTGAAGCCAGTGTTGGTGGCTGGGCCGAAACTGCGAGTGGCAAAGGCTTCTGATGCATTTGTTGAATTGGCCGATGCCTGTGGCTATCCAGTCGCCATGATGCCATCAGCAAAAGGACTTGTGCCGGAGAACCATCCCCATTTCATTGGGACTTACTGGGGTGCTGTGAGCACCGCCTTCTGTGCAGAAATCGTCGAATCTGCCGATGCTTACTTGTTTGCAGGACCCATTTTCAATGACTACAGCTCTGTTGGGTACTCTCTGCTTCTGAAGAGAGAGAAGGCGATCATCGTGCAGTCTGAACGTGTAGTGATTGGAAATGGGCCTGCGTTTGGGTGTGTTACAATGAAGGATTTCTTGAGAGCTCTGTCAAAGCGGCTTAAGCGCAACGCAACTGCCTATGATAATTACCATAGGATCTATGTTCCGGAGGGACATCCTCTCAAGTGTGAGCCTAACGAGCCCTTAAAGGTCAATGTTCTGTTCCACCACATTCAGAAGATGCTGTCAAGTGACAGTGCTGTGATTGCTGAGACTGGGGACTCTTGGTTTAATTGCCAGAAACTGAAATTGCCCAAGGGATGTGGGTAAGTGGCTGAGAGAATGTTGCGTTTGTTTTTATTATTTATTTTTTATTACACTTTATGATTCAACAACATTGTGAAATTGGGGTTTGCAGGTACGAGTTCCAGATGCAATATGGATCAATTGGCTGGGCTGTAGGTGCAACTCTTGGATATGCACAGGCTGCACGAAATAAGCGAGTGATTGCTTGCATTGGTGATGGTAGCTTTCAGGTATTTATGCATACATATCCGTCTTTGTTGTATTCCATATGGTTTTGATTCATGTAAATTTTCCTAATGATACTTCATATGAATTCTGGCAATCACTTCTCTGCTGTTCCTATTTATCTCAAAAAATACGACATAGATCTCTATTTCCGGAAAGAAAGGGAATGCTTCTTCATATTCAAATTAAATCTGTATGAGTTACTCCCAATGTTCTGGAAGATTGTTGACTTCCTCTGCAATATTTCCCACTGTATGTTAAAGGGTTGTGCTGTATTGCTGTCTATGCTTGTATATCTTCAGCTTATATCACCTTGCATGCACAATATGAAAGACTCGAAACTTTAAAGATTGCAATAATGGGATTCACTACTGATTATCTCCTGAATTTGTCCTTGTTAACACTCATTTTGGTGAATGCTTCACAGGTGACTGCACAAGATGTGTCAACAATGTTGAGATGTGAACAGAGGACCATCATCTTCCTTATAAACAATGGGGGATACACCATAGAAGTTGAGATCCATGATGGTCCTTACAATGTGATCAAGAACTGGAACTACACTGGTGTGGTTGATGCAATCCACAACGGTGAAGGCAAGTGCTGGACAGCTAAGGTGAGTTGGGAAGTTCAATGCACATTCGCTTTGATGCATCAACTCTGAAATGGGACGATTAGAGATCACAAAACCATTTTTTTTTGTCTTTATTGTTGCAGGTGCGCTATGAGGAAGAGCTCATCGAAGCAATTGATACAGCAATGGGTGCTAAGAGTGATTGCTTGTGCTTCATAGAAGTGATTGTTCATAAGGATGACACGAGCAAAGAGCTGCTTGAATGGGGCTCCAGAGTGTCTGCTGCAAATAGCCGACCCCCGAACCCTCAGTAAATACTTATCACTGCTGCTATAAGTGGATAGAACAGCATTTATGCTTCCTCGGGTATATAAAGTTCTAGGTTTGGCTTGAGCCACCTGTTCGCATATTCTGCATAGTTCTGCTGAATTTTGTGTGTATATTCCCTTTGATTTTTAATATCTACTGATCTTTTTGCCTCATTTTCTATCTTCTTTTACATATTAAAACTTTCTTTTTAGTTTGACTGGTAGATGTTTGGAATAATTGGATGGATAAATGCTGAGAGAGAGAGAGAGGGGGGGTTGTGGGTTGCATGGTAGATATGAAAAGAGAGATCAACGGCGTGAAAAAGAGAGGCATGAAAATGAAATGAAGTAAATGGATTTGGCTATCTTCCTCAATGGAAAATGATGCATAAATAATGTCACTCAAACTACTTTTTGAAGTTGGATAATACTGAAGTGTTGTTTTTAGACAGAATGGTGTATTTATTTATTTTTTTTGAACTGGATTGGTGTGTTTATTTGTCGTCGTTTTATTCTAACCTTCTCTCTCATAATTTTTAAAGTTAAACTTTGGTGTCATTCCATATAAATTTTTATATAAAATTTTGTTTGCTGATTATTTTTATTCAAATTGTATTTGAATTATAGATTTAAATAAAAAAATTTAAAAAAAAATGAAAAAAATGTGTAAAGATTTCTTTTTCTTCCTCTTTCCGATCTCTCCCATCTAAATTTCTAATCTAAAACACATCCAAACATAGCTTCCAATTCACGTTTGTAAACCCCATGGGGTCAACACTCACCAAAATGAGTACCGCCATAAAAAATAAAAAAGGACTAAATTTAGAGATTCTTTAGTATTATGACTATTATGGTGTTGATTATGACATAAAATCATATAACTTCATAACTAAATGTATGGTACATCTAAATGTACCATAGCATCACCCTGCAAGTTATACCAAATAGCAACTTTCCAAACTCAAAGCAAGGAAAATAAATTTTTTTTTTTTGGGGGGGACTAAACACTAGATATTTATAAATAGCAAAAAAAGTCTATACAAAATTAGCTGCATTAGAGACGGGCATAGCTTAGTTCAAAAAAAAAAAAAGAAAAAGAAAAAAGAAAAAAAGAGAAGGGCATAGCTTTCCAGCATTTTTGTAAAATGACGCATAAATAATGTCTCAATCTACTTTTTACTGTAAATAGAGGGTTGGTTTTGAATTTTGATACAAATGATTTCATTTTAAATTAAACAACCGACCATTCTCAGTCATAAAGAAAATACTTCGCACTTTAGTGTATGAACTTTTATATAAAATTTTTATTTGTCTACTGTTCACTACAAGAAAACACATTTTTAGCGATTAAATTTTTAGTCATCAAAAGTCTTTTTTTAGTGACCAAATGTCAAATTTTCACTTTTCCCGACTAAATATTTTAGTCGCCGGTTTTGTCGCGAATATATGGTCGCGAATACCTTTGGCGACTAAAAAATTGTTAGTCGGCAATATACAGGTCTTCAGCGACCAAAGAATTTATCGCTAATAGTCAATTTCATTTTTGGAAATTATACATTTAGCAACTAAACTTTTAGTCGCCAATAGTGAATTTTTTTTTTATTTATACATTGGCCGAGTAAACTTTTCGTCGCCAATAGCCAATCTTTTGGCGACCACAGACTTTAGTCGCCAAAAGCATTTTTCAGAAAAAAAAAAAAAAATTGCCACTACTATTCCCAAGTTTCGAACCACAAACCTCCTAACATTCTCAACCTTTACCAACACTCTCTCCCTACTACGCCACTACAACATCACATGAATATTAATGCAACATATATTATTTATATACTATATTGACCGGTATTAATAGGTAGATTGTCTTCAATCAAAAAACAATTAAAAATGAATATATATATATATATATACTAGTAATTGTCACACGCGATTTGTATATAATTCAAATAAGTAAAAAATAAAATAAAATATTTATTATATGTTGGGTGTCACTCAAGGGATAAGAGTCTTCTTCGTTAGACCGAAGGTGTAAGATTTAAGTCTCACTCCTTCCATCACACCACTAAAGTGTTCACTTTATAATAGAATAGATAGATAGATAGATATATTAGTTTTAAAATCCAATTTTATATACATTTTTAATCAGCTAGATGGAATTATATAAGGAATTTAAAAATGTTATAACACTTCTTAATGAAAATAATACTAAAATGTATTACTAAATCCTTTATCAAACGGATTATCTATATCACATTGTGTTGTGCAATTTCTATATTAACTTTCCTCGTTTAATATTCGTATTATTAAATTGTGTCATATTTGTATTCGTATAAAAAAATGGGGTTTGTTGATTTCATATACAATTTGAATCGTGTTTTCTTATTGGATTGAAAATTCTGACATAAAATTGCATTACAAATAACCTATATGTTAAGATTTGGTAAATATAATAAAATAAGGAGTATTATGGATAATTTATTTGAAGCAATGTGCACATAATAAAAAATAAAATAAATGTCACTTAAAGTTGTGTTTAGTTCATTGATTTGGAAAGGAACTTGGAAAGGAAAAGAAAAAAAATAAGTAAAATATAATTACATTTTACCTAAATTTCATACATTTTTTTTTTTCGCTTTTTAAACTCCTTTCCAAATACTAAATACAGTCTAAGAGACTCGTCCAGCTCGTGAGAAGTGGAATTGGAATCGGAAGCCAACGCACGTGGCTTCTCCGAAATCGACCTTCTGCGGGAGGGACTTACAATAAAGTGACTGAAAAATTACTATGTAAATTGATATACAAATCCACTTTTTAGATTCATTATCTAAACTCAATGATATAATGATATATAAGTGAAATGATTAGTTGATGATTGAAAAAATATGAGAGAGAGAGTGTTACCTTAGATATTCTAATTGATTGTCACAATATTGAACTTGAAAATTAAGCCTAATTTTTGGACTTGTATAACAATGCTCAATCTCTAATATCTAGATTTATTGAAAACTCTTTTTGAAAATCTAGATATGTCTAATGTTTATGTGATTATTGATTTAGGCAATTCAAATAAAAATTTATGCCATCATGATCAAAATAGAAAGGAAGTAAAATATCACAACCACGACACAAAAGATTTTTTATATTGAAAAATCACAATTGGAATCCTCACCAACCTATGATAAAAAATCACGAATCTCTGGCCAAACGAATAATCCGCTGTAAAATAAAAGTAGTACAAGAGATATCTTACAAAAGTCATTCCAAGGCACGCGACTTTTTTCAATCTACAAGTAACTCCACCTCCTCCCCCACTGGATATCCGTTTTGTTGAATTCACACCACGATTAGCTTTGGAATCCACCAAGAAAGAACATAAAAGAAGGTGTTGCAATATTTTTTAAAACTTGATGTTTATCATGAAGTTCCTATGAATCTAATGAAACATCAAGCAAAATGAGAGATATAAAGAATCCTCACTACAAGTTCTCTCAAAAATATTTCTCTCTTAAAAATATTTTTCTCTCATAAAAATAAACTCTCTCTAAATTAGAAGTATTTAGAAATAACTCAAAAGAGGTTTCAAAGAGTAGCTAGAGAGATGCCAAACAATTCAGCCAAGCTGTCCTTAAATAGATTTCAGGACGCACACAGTCGCGGGCGTGGTATTGGGATTCGCGGGCACGACCGGGCAGCGTGCTGTCAAGCTGCTGATATTCCTCCATGTCTCCTGGCTAGCTTTTAACAGTTCATTCCCCCGACAGATAGTCTCTTTTTGGTGCTGGAAAATTCCACCATTCACACAGGATTGTTCATTGCAGATTGCCAAAAAAAATTCACAACTTTTTGCACATTTGAAGCTCTATCTCTTCAGCCATGTTTTGCCAATAAAAGTCTCAGACAAACAGCCACCTTATGAGTTGTTTGTCGGAAAGCTTCATATAATTATTTGCACAAATAGTTTAATTTTTTGAAATATTCATTAAAAAAAAAAAACTCCTAGTTTCATTACAATATAACAAGGCAAAATAATTTCATTATAAAATATACAAAAAAAAAAAAATGTAGCCTTCATCTCACAAACAAAAATAGGTTACTTTCTTGAGAGTACAAACAAAAAATTTACAGCCTTTGCAAAAAGAGCACAACTAAAGTATTCCTTCATCTCAAGAGCAAAATCCATCCTTCCTTAGCTTCTCTGACTCTACAACTGTAATGACTGCTTTCACATGAAAAAATGATTTCCTCCTTGATATCCGATATCAAACTTGTCACCACCTTCACCCCCCACAACCAGCAAAAATAATGCAACAAGATAAAAACAATACCTACGAGAGAGAGAGAGAGAGAGAGAGAGAGAGAGAGAGATAAATAGAAACTTAGCTATGACCAATCTTACGCGTAAGGATAGTTAAGTCCCTAGAGTGATCTCCTAAAGTGCTTAATCCGACGGTTGAGAACAAAATTCACCAAAACGACGTCGTTTTGGTGAGTATTTTGAAAAAAAAAAAAAAAAAAAAACCTCTTTCACTCTCAACAAAAGGCCCAGGTTGCTTCTGGTAATGAAGCTACTGCTACTATTATAGCTATGGCGGTGAGTTTCCAAGGCTTCTGAGTCAACTCTTGACTCTAATAAACGAATCGAACGAGTTCAATGCAGTTCGGCTCTCGTCAAGCACCTCAAGGCCCCTGTTCATCTCGTATACTCTCTCTCTCTCTCTACTTTCTCTCTCTTGTTCATTTACATATGTATGTGTGTGTGTGTGGGGATATGTCTTTCCGTATTTGGATCGATTGATAAGTGAATTTGTTGAGATTCGATTGTGATTGATGAAATTTCTGTAAATTGTTGCTTAGATTTGAGTTTTTTTTATGATTTTAGTGATTCTGTTATTTTTTTTTTTTTTTTTTTTTTATGATTTTAGTGATTTTGTTATGGAATTTTTGAAAGTTAAACAAATTTTTGCAGTTTAATCTGTAGTATTTGTTTTGTTTGTGATGATTTGAACTGAATTTATCCGTCGGTAACCTCTGTTTGCTTGCTGGAAAAATGGAGGAAAATCAGCTGAGAAAAAAATTTCAAATCCTGTTTCATTTTGAAATCCCCTGAATCTAAATTTTTTTTTTCAAAATACTCAACAAAACGACATCGTTTTGGTGAGTTTTATTATCAGCCGTCGGATCCTTACACTTTAGGAGATCACTCTAGGGGCTTAAGTCTAGAGGATCCTTACGCCAATCTTACAGCTCCCAGTGTATCACAATAGCAAATTTGGAGCTTTCCTTGAACAATCTTGCATTTTTTTATTATTATTTATGTTTTGGGCTGGAAAGAGATAAAATTTTATTCAAGACAAATAGGAAATGAAGATAGGCTACCACATAACAAATGTTAACAACAATGCTTCCAACTAATAAGAAAGACAAAGCCTGAGACATAGTTGGTAAGATTCCAACTAAAAAGAAGAAGAAGAAGAGAAACAAATAAATTCATAACCGCAAACTCTCACTAAAATACTACTCTTCCACCAAAACAAAAAAACATTTCCCATCCATTTTTTTAACTCAATCAACAATAAACACACTGGTTCAATTGTGTGGTCCGAAAATGCATTGGTTAGCTAGGGTTCTTGAACAAACCATTCGAAAAAGGAAAGCTTTTGTTACTGGTATTCTTCTTGCCTTTTAACTTCATTTCATCAAATACTACAAGATACCTCTTGATTATTGCAATTAAAATTGAGTTTCAACAAAATACAGGAGATGAAAATCAGACAATACCAAAATGAAATATGAATTTCAAAAAAAAATTGAAATCTTAGCCAAATCCCAAATCAAATAACACATCAAATAAAGAAAAGCTTTTGTTACTCGTATCCTTCTTGCCTTTTAACTTCATTTCCTCAATACTAAAAGATACCCCTTGAATTGAGTCTCAACAAAATGCAGGAAAGAAAATCAGACAATACCAAAATGAATCAGAAATTTTAGTTGGTTGGAATATGAATTTCAAAAAAATTTGAAATCTTAGCCAAATCCCAAATCAAATGAAATTTCAGTTGGATTTCAAATGAGGAATTTTTAAAGTCTAATATTTGATGATTTTTAGTAATATTGAGACCTAAATTTGTGAACTCCCAAATCAAAAATTTCAAATTTCAAATCCTAAAATTTTTCAATCAAAACAAGAAATCCCTAAAATTGTTAATTTACCTATCTTTTTGGGTCTCCTTCCTTCACTACAACAAATTGAATTTTTGGCGATCAAATTTGGCTACTAAAAAAAGTCTACTCGCCAAAAGTTGTAGAATTGGCGACCAAAAATTATATTAGTAGGCAAAAGTACAATATTTAGTGAGGGTATACTAATTATTGGCGACTAAAAAAAAATTTAGTCGCTAAAAATGCCACAATTGGTGATTAAAAAATTTTTTAGTCACTGTACAATTAGTTTTGGCTACTAAAATAATTTAGTCGCCGAATGAAAAACAAAAATTTACTTTTTTATCTTTGGCGACCAAAAGTTTGGTCGCCAAAAATTTATTTTCAGCAACTAAAAGATTTTGTAGTCGCTATATAGTTAGTTTTGGCTACTAAAATTATTTAGTCGCCGAATAAAAAACAAAAAATTACTTTTTATCTTTTTTTTTTTTTTGATCGGCAAAAAAAAACTTTATTGATGAAGCACGCACAGGGTACAATGGAAAACATCAATAAAGAGGAGTTAGGAGCTAGATGAAGCTCAAACCTCCTAGTTGGTGAGAGACCAACAAAAAGAGAAATCAAAAAACAAAAAACACAGCTAAGAACAAAACTGCAGCAAAAACAGAACAAACCAGAGAGACCAAAGTATCCAAGAACTAAACGAGGTAGATTAACTCTGCACTGTAACAAAACCAATAATTGCTACCAAAACACTGCAGAGCATTGCACAAGACTTCAACCGAAGCAGAACCACCACCCAGGGCAGATAACAACAGCAGATAGACGAGGCAGTAGCTTAGAGCTAATGCAGATTACAACAGAACAAGCATACTTCAGCCCAGATAGCTGCAAAACATATTCCAAAACACTAAGATTTGAATTTGATGAGTTCTAGAAGACCTGAAGAGATGGGTTGTGCATTAGAAAACACACATTCATTTATGAGTTTCCAAATAGACCAAAGTACAATTAAGGGGATTGCTCTCCAAATTAATCTGTCAAGCTTATGAAATTTCCCACTCATCCACCAAGAAAGCAGACCATCAACTGAATTAGGAATACACCAATGGAGACCCCATTCCTCAACAACTGCAAGCCAGATTGACCAAGAAAAGGGGCAATGCAGCAGGACATGGGAAACAGTTTCTAACTCGGAGCTGCAAAAGTGACAGAGGGGTGAAGCATTGCTGCCCAGGATATCAATCTTGAGCAGAAAATCTAAACATTTGATCCTATTTTTCCAGGCCAGCCAAGAAAAAAATGAAACTTTGGGAGGCAATAACGAATTCCAAACACATTTGCTTACCTTAAGTTGAGGGCCAAGAAGAGATGAATTGTGAGAATATAAAGCAGAAACAGAAAACCAGACACTGAATTAGTGCACCAGACATGACAGTCTTCACAACCCAAACACAAAGTTGGAGCAGAGGATAAAAGAGCATTCAATCTCACTTCTTCAGCCAATTCCCATGAATAGAGCTCTCTTCTATGGGGAAGGTTCCAAACAGATGGACTTGATTTCCTTGTAAAATAATGATGGAGAGAGCCTTCCTTATCAGATGACAGATTAAAAAGAAGAGGGAAAGAAGATTTCAGACAAAGGCCATCGCACCATCTGTCAAGCCAGAATCTGATTCTGATACCATTCCCAACCTTGATAGCACAGTTGCCCACAAAGAAGTTAAAAATAGGCCTATTAAGAGCCCCAATTGATAAAATGTCACTTCACAATCTAGAATGCTTATAAGAGGGACTCAAAGGAGGAAGCCAACAGGAGTCCTTGATTTTATATTTGCTGCACACAATTGACCTCCAGAGAGCTTTGGTTTGGTTTCCAAATTTCCACCACCATTTGAGAAGGAGACAAACATTAACATCTCTGATCCTTCTAATGCCTAATCCCCCTTGATCAATTCTCTTTGTAACCTCCTCCCATTTCACTAAATGAACTTTCCTTTTAAGATCACTACCACCCCATAAGAATGCAGCCTCTAACCTTTCTATTTCTTTAGCCACTCCTTCAGGCATTTTAAACAGAGAAAGAAAGTAAACAGGTAAGCTAGATAGGGTAGGCTTGATTAAAGTTAATCAACTAGCAAAGGACAGCAGTTTTCTCTTCTATTCGGACAATCTAGACTTGATTTTATCAATAACAGGCTTCCAGGTAGATTTTTTGCCAGGATTTGCTCCTAAAGGCAGCCCCAGAAATTTTAATGGAGAGACTCTGCACCTTACAATTGAGAACAGAAGCAAAAGTGATTATACAATCTTCAGCCACACCAACACCACACACAACACTCTTATGGTAGTTAATTTTGAGACCGGATAATACTTCAAAGCATCTGAGAACTCTTTTAATGGATACCAACTGATCCCAATCAGCTTCACAAAAGAGAATTGAGTCATTAGCAAATTGTAAATGTGAGATAAGAACATTGTTAGACCCGAAAACCACCCTTTTGAGGATGCCAAGATTAAGGGCTCTAACTAAAAGAATGTTAAGGCCTTCCGCCACTATGTTGAAGAGGAAAGGTGAAAGCAGGTCGCCCTGCCTAAGGCCCTTATGGAGTGAAAATTCCTTGGTAGGTGATCCATTCACTAGAATGGAGATTCTTGCTATAGTGACACAAGTCTTCATCCAAGAGATCCATTTATCCCCTAAGCCAAAACTGATCATCAAAGAAAATAAGAATTCCCAATTAACAGAATCAAAAGCTTTCTCGAAATCCAATTTGAGAATTAACCCTTGCTTTTTGGCCTTCTTCCAACCATCCACTGCTTCATTAGCAATAAACACTCCATCAAGAATATTTCTCTCTCCCAAGAATGCTGTCTGAGTTTCACCCATGATTAAGGGAAGCACTGATTTCAATCTGAATGATAAGACTTTGGCCAAGATTTTGTAAATAGATCCCATGAGACTAATAGGTCTATAATCAAATAGACCAATAGGATTATCCACCTTGGGAATAAGGGTGATGAATGAGCTATTAATGCCATATGCAAGCCTGCTGTTAGAGTGAAACTCCTTGAAAAATTGCATTATGTCCAGCTTCATAACCTTCCAGAATTTCTGATAACACAGCAAGTTGAACCCATCAGGGCCTGGAGCTTTGTTATTGTTACAATCTTTGATTGCTGCTAATACCTCAGCTGCACTGATCTCAGCTACCAGATGTTGAGAGACATAATCTGGCTCAATGGTATTGAACACCCCTGCCAAAGAAGGCCTCTTAACCCACGATTCAGAGAATTGAGCCTTAAAGTGAAGTAAAATTTGGTGCCTGACTCCACTAGGATCCACAACGGACACTCCATTTATTGAAATAGAATTGATCAGATTTCTACTATGCCGAGAACTTGCAACAACATGAAAAAATCTACTATTTTTATCCCCATTGAGAGACCAATTCAATCTGGATTTTTAGTGCCAAATCCATTCTATCATTCTGTAGAGTTTCCACAGCTCACCTTTAACCTCCGTTCTTCTTGCCTTTTCTGAAGCAATCAGTGCTCTTTCCTCTGCAGTGATATCCAGAGCATGTAGCTCTTCTTCTGAAGACTTGATTTTAGAAGCAACATTGCCAAACACCTCAATGTTCCAAGATTTTAGAATTAGCTTCAGATACTTTAGTTTTTGAGAGAGTATATAACCAGACCAGCCAGCAAAAGTGGTACCTGACCATGTTGAGGCAAATAGCTGAGAAAAGCTGGGGTGAAGAGTCCACGCATTTAGGAACCTGAAAGGCTTTGGCCCCCCAATCTCTGTCATCTTCCATCATTAATAAAGAGCAGTGGTCTGAAATTAACTTAGGTAATCTCCACCATTTCATTGAGAAATTGATCATCCATTCAAGGCTTGATTGTAATATCCCTGTCCCGTAGTATGATAATTGGTCCTTAATATGAGTGTGATTATGTGTTTAATATGATTTTGTGTGCCATTATGTGAAAATATGTGGTTTTGAATTTCTATCTATTCACCGTAGGAATATCTGTTTGATTGTCTGCTTTGGAAATTAAATTGAAGGCCCTATCGGCCACAGAAACCGAAATTGACGGCACCATGGTGATTGGCATAATTTTTAGAGCCTACGGTGAAATTTAATTGAACATCGATTAGGATCAAATTAATTAGATTAAAATGTTGGCATAGTGCTCAAATTATTTAAATATTGGTTAGTGGACTTATACATAAAAGGCCATATACACTCAAGCTCTCTTTTTAATCAACTTGGTTGATTTAACTCTAAGAAAAAGAGAGAGGGGTCGGCTAGAGAGAGAGAAAGAAGGAGAGTTGGGTGTTTGGCTCAATTTTGTGTAGATTGGAGTATTAAACTCAAGATTTTGCCATAGATTGAGAGAATTAAGCCTCTAGGTAAGTGAGTGGATGAATTGTAATTAGTAATTTTGTGAATTGAAGGTTGAAAAATGATTAAGAACATGAATTTAATTGAGCATGATGTAATTGAATTGGTTTTGTTGAATTGAAGGCCAATATGTGCATGCATGTAAGAAATTGTTTTGAAATTGCATGTTTGAGCTTGAAATACATGATTCATGTAGAGTTTTGGTTAAAGCTCATGTTGTAATCACCATTTGTATCATCTAAGTTGAGAATGAGAGTAATACATCACATGCATGTACAATTTATGAGAATAGGAGTTTTGAATGCATGAATGTGTTATGATGGAAATGAGTTGGTGTCAATTTGGGACATGCATGTGTTTGATTCTTGGAATTAAGCTTCAAAATGTTGTAATTTAGTGCTTGTCGCATGTTAGTACACATATATATGAAGTTTGAGTCAAAAACATGCAATTAGAGCCTTTGAACATCAAGTTGAAGCTCAAGAACATGTTCTGGATTTTTCCAGAAATTTGATGTTCGCTCGAGCGGGGAGACCGCCGCTCGAGCTTGAATTTCGTGCTCCCAGTATTTTTGCAGACTTGGATGTCCGCTCAAGCGGGGGAGGTCCACGCTCGAGTGTGGAGCTATGTAGACAGACCTTCAGCTCGAGTGCCAGAATTCACGCTCGAGCGTAATTTTGATGCATCCAGCACTTTTGCAAACCTCATGGGTTCGCTCGAGCGCGGAAGTCCACGCCCGCTTGAGCGGGGACCCTGTTTTCTGAAATTTTGTTTATGCATTCTGTGTTTTGTTTTCGGTCCTCTTTCACTTCTAAGTGCTCTTAGGCATGCATTGAGCATTGTAATTGAGTTAAAGAGATAAGAATGAAGCCTAAAGATGAAAATGTGAATTTAGAACGGATTGAATTGTTCGTGACCCTTTTGTGTTCATGGAATGTGTAGGGTCGAGCTCCAGGGCAAACCAACCAACCGATCACTGTGAGTAATGTCTTAACAAGATATTTGAAATATGTTGTTGTCCAATCGTGTACTTCTATGTAAGTTTTGTAAGTTCATTAATTTGAATGGTGCTCAATGATTGACAAGAATGATTGGGCCAAGGGCCGATTGACAAGAATGATTGGGTCAAAGGCCGATTGACAAGAATAATTGGGATGAAGGCCGATTGACAAGAATGATTGGGCTGAAGGCCGATTGACAAGAATGATTGGGCCAAAGGCCGATTGACATAAATGATTGGGCCGAAGGCCGATTGATATAAATGATTGGACTGAAGGCCGATTGATATAAGTGATTGGGCCAAAGGCCGTCTGCTGTAATTGTTTCAAAGATTGCTTACGTATCCTCCTTATTTGATATTATTCACTAGGCTTTCGCTCACGCTTATTCATGTACATGCAGGTGAGCCAAGGGACGTCCAGAACCAGCCTCGGTGAAATTGTGAGGAACAGTCAGAGTTTTGTGGAGTCAGCCCAAACATCTCACGTACGAGACTGTCTTCGCCTTTGTCCTTTGTTCATAGTTTTGTTATGTTGGCGAAAGCATTGGACTACTTTTGTACATAAGTCTTGGGTTCGACTGACTTAAACTTGTATGATCCTATATGTATAGTGTTCTGTGTTAGTACATATTTTGATGTGAGTTATTAACATATAAATGTTTGGAATGTTATGGTGTGTATATAAGCATGGCTCTATGGACAAAGTTTTAAATTTGCTTCCATTTGGCCCCTTTACTCTGATGAGTTTTGTTTTATTTGGTTTGAGGCCGTAGGTAATCTCGTGATTACTGGCCAGTTATGGCCTTAACCCATAGGGGCGAGTTCGGGTCATGACATTGATCATCCATTGAGAAATTGGTCATCCATCTCCATTTACTTTTTATCTTTGGCGACTAAAAGTTTGGTCACCAGAAACTTATTTTCAGGCCAAAGAAAGAAAATATTTGGAGGGAGACATTTCAAATTTTGGAGGAATTTATAAACTTAATTGGCAACCAAAATGTTTAGTCGCCAAATTACTACTTTTAGTGACTAAAAAAATATTTAGTCGCCGTTAGTTAAGGTTTTGGCTACTAAAAAAAATTTAGTCGCCGTTCATTATTTTCTTTTAGGGGAAAAAACCAATAAATCCCAAGTTTGAACAGTCTGAACCATATGGTCCTACAATTTATTTGAAAGACTGAAAGGTCCCAATTAATTGGTATTTTCGTTTCAGCCCTCGAACAACACGCGATGTAAGGTTGTTTGTAAGGGGTAAATTGGGGGTTTGATGATGTTGTAGTTATCGAATTGCCCAAAACTTACTATAGGCTTTTTCCCCTTTTTCCTCCATTGCAAGCAACACGAAAGCTGAAAGGATGGAACGACAATGTTGCTGTAGTTGATGGTGTATTATTGATCTTCATTTCTGTGTGAGTTGGATGTTAGATTTGGCAACGTTGCATTTTTCAATTTCATTTCCCTAAATAACATTAATGAACCCCATCAAAACCCTAACATTTGGAAAACCCTTTCTTTCAACGTTGCATCTGCGTAACGGCATGGGCTTTAAGGGTTTGCTATTGTGATGTTGTGGGTGTGTATAGAGTGGCGGACGCATGGTGTTTTAGTTAGTTTTGTAGTTAATGTTTGTGTTATTAGTTGGGTGTCGGGTGATGCTATTGTTTCTGGGGTGGGGGGTACCAGTGATTGCAAATGTGATATTGTGCATGTATGTAAAGTATCAGACGCATTGTTTCCATTTTGATTTTTTGAATATTGGGTGAATATTTTGTAATGTTAGTATTAGTGGGGCCAGAGGAAGGATGTATGCTTGCAAATGTTGGAGGGGTGTGGTGGTATAAAGTTGTATTGGAGGGTGGTGGCCCGTGGTTGTCGAGCTTTGTGAATGTTAAGTTGTGCAGTAGTTTTTTTTATACAAAATAGCTTCTATCGTTCACTTATGTTGTGTTTTCCATAAGTGTGCGACAGAAGCTAATTGTGAAGTTATACGTGTCACAGTTCCGGTAATGTTAATCGTGTGAGCAGTTAATTGTTTTTCGCCATTAGTTTGGTTATTTTCATGACTTGATTGTCCATGATTTACTTGCGCCCACGCGTCGCCATGTTGGGAAGCATTTGACTCATATAAGATTCAAAATGTTAAGGTTAAGTTTTGTTTGTATGTTGTTTTTTTTTTTGGTTGGGGAATGTTACGAGATTAAGGTAGTTGATGTGTCCTATATTTGTTTGTCATTATTTTATGTAGATTAGTTAGAGTAATTATATTGTGCAGTGTGTTGTCATATTTTGCATTACGGATTAGTTTTGTTTTATTGAATCAGGTTTGAATTTGGTGTTATGATTCATGTGGCAGGTAATACGGGACGGGAAGGTTCAGCACGCCGGTGTGGGTGGCGTCCATGGCGTTCATCGTTGTCTATCAAAACGTCAACAAGAATAACGTCGAGAAGACAGGCACAACTGCCATTCAAGAAGAAGGAGGTAAATGTCAGCCGTGGAAGGAAAACTGAAGTCAACACGTCTAAGCTTATGTACTGTTCGAATGTTGTGGGTGTGATTGAAACTATTCTTGAGTTAGAGTTCAGTGCGGGATAGATTCGACAACTACAGAAGACGCCATTTTGGTTGATGATAGAAGCACTCCGTGTGCACAACCTCAATCCAAAGGCATTTAAGAAATGTGATGCTATAGTGTGTTATATAATCCAGATGTACAATCCTGTAGACGAGAAATTCTACATTGGGGGGATTGGGCTGTCGTTACAGAACAGCGACATCCGATTAATGTTTGGGGTTCAATGTGGAAAAGAGACACTGGATCTGTCGCCGGGTGTGAAGGTGCCATCTGATTTTATTCAGCACCGTTGCCCAAATGTCAACCAGATTTCTTCAAAGGTGATAAAAGATTTACTACTGGAAGCAATACGTGGCACGACTGAACGGGACGAGGAAGATGCTGCGAAACTGCTTTGTTTGTATATATGTGCGACACTTTTTTTTTGCTAATACGGGTGAATCCATTGGCTGGTCATTTGTCCGTGTAATTGACAAGATGGAGACGTTGCGTTTGTACAACTAGGTAGCAGCAATCCGTAATGCGTTGGTTGGTTCGTTGAATGAGTTGCATAACAAACCAGAAAAGGTTACCGGATGTGTTGTGGCATTGTTGGTATGGCCTTGTAAAGCCCTAAACTTTTTATGTATTACATGCGTAAACAATGTAGTTATTGATTGTTTTGTGTAACTGTCTGTATTTGTCTTTAATGTTTGTAGTTCCTCATTTGCAAACACACAACATTACTGGAACCGGAACGGCGGAATGTGCCGCCACGATTTTGCAAATGGAACATTGCCACTCTAGTTGTGAAGCTGAAAGGCATTGATTTATCAGTGGAGGGCTCTATTGAGGTATGAAACATTGCCTTACAATACTTAATCAGTACGTATATCGGTAAATGTTGTTTTGATATGTGGGATCTTTTGCAGGTGAATTGTGGTAAACTTTCTGTTACGGTCGTGGCACGTTATTTCGTGAAGTCATTGCCGACCGAATTTACACCAAAGAAGGATGAGGCAGTAATCTTAGAGGTTGATCCGGTGAGTTCGTGGCCTGGTGGTGAGACTACTGTGCATGTTGATGGTGGGAATGACGTGGAACCAAGTTTTGACTTTTGGCAGCCTGATTCGCCATACGGAGGAAATGTTGAATTGAAGCCGGTTAACGTCTCAGATGGTATGCCCGTTAACAGATTGGATGACGAACGGAGTGGACAACCTGATTATAAGATGAAGGAGTCGCATGATATGCTAGCAGCAGGGGAAATGTGGCCAGTATTGTTTCCAGACCTTCTAGACCTGTCCAACACACCTATTGATGACATCATTCGAAATTACACAAATGGAACCAACGAGTAACTCAGCATGGCATTGCGTCAAACTGAAGAGCTGGAAACCAAACTAACCGTGACTTTGAGGGTAGGGTGGAGTCGATGGAAAGGATGCTTGGTGTGAAAGCTGCAAATCTGTTTATTAGGTTCGAAAGTGTTAGTGTTGCAGTTGCCAAAGACGATGAAATCGCACGTTTGAACACACTGGTAGGTCAGCTAAAAGAAATAATTAGCAACTTGGAAGATCAAGTTGACGACCGTGAGGTGCATGAAATCACACAATCAGTTAGAAAGGACATCTCAAACATTTTAACAGCAGTGTATAATCTGTCGGAGAAGGGTAGTGGGTTAATGAATGGCACAAGTAGTGGTAGTGTGAAACGTTCTCCGTCGCCAAGTTGTACTTGTGTCCCGGTTGTTAATGTAACAACTGAATATGGTACAGTCATGGACAAGGTGGACATTGTGAATGATGTTGGTGTGAGAAGTGCTGCTAGACGCCGATGTGGTGCACCATTGGGTAACACTGAACACCCCATTGTTACGCATCCTGTGGTGGGCCAAGATGGTGGTGTTGGCTGTGTAGTAAGTGGAGGCAGTGGGACAAGAGTGCAATGTAGAGTCGAACTGATGATTACATCGTTGGTTAAGAGGGTGAAGAACAAGCCAATGAGGGAATTCAGACTGTGTGATTACGAGTACACTGGGATTGTACAGCGTAACAAGCAGAATGCGAGGCCATTAATTAGTAAGGGTAATGAAGCTGGAGTAATATACAACGTAGACAATGTTGATATGGAGCGAAAGACTTGGAATGGGTTTAGTATGAACAGAAAACATGAAGTTTAGAACTTGTTGAGCGATGATGAAAGGACGTTGGTCGAAAATACGTATTGCTTTGATGGTGATAGGTGAGTTATGGTTTCAGTACATTTTTTTTTAATGATTGGTAGTGTGTTAGACATGTCGTAATGTAGCAATGTTACTAATGGTGAGCACTTGTTTGTAACGGTGTTATTTGGGACAGCATGGACAACGAGATCCAAGTTCTTTTTACAGACATCCGAGATTTGGTCAAGCAGGGCTCAATCCATGGGAACGTAAGTGATTTTTGGAAACAATTTTTTACATTACAGTTAAGTTGAGTAGGTTGATTATCTAGGTCATGTGATATTATAATATTTGAAGTTGAACTTAACTATTTGATGACAAATGAGATGGTGTAATTGATCGACGCGTGTGGTTGTGTGATGATGGATATGCAAAAGGAGTTGGCACATAAAGGCAAAACACGGGACACGTCGTATATGTATAGTAGCACATGTTCGATATGTCGAATTGCCTCACTTACATACTCACATCCCATGAAACACAGTTGAATTGTGTAATATGAACTCATATTTAGAATGTTTGCGGGGTCACATGGGTCGCAAGACATGATGCACAATCTGAGTGCAATTTTGAGGACAAAATATCTGAATGTGAACATCAAAGCTGCCAAAGGACACAGATACATACATTACCCGATATATCATGCGAAGCATTGGACTGTAATGGTGCACGACGTGGTGGCCGGAACGTGGAAGCATTACAATTCTTTGAAATAGAGATGAGGCCTGCAAGATGAACATTATAACGAGGCATTAAAAGTGGTAAGTGGTATTGGAATGTTAGTTGAGATTGCGTATATTGTAATTATTTGGTGTGTTATATTTGGTGGAT